GGCACAAATACACACCAACACTTATATATAGGTTTGCATGAAATTTCACTATAATGCATGCAACATATACGTAGTATCTGCTTTCCTATAATAAATATATAATAAATATGTTTCGACTTAATTCAGAATGAACTCTGAAGCAGTTTCTTCCCCCCATTTGTCTAATTTTAAAGCAGTAATTGAGAAGAAAACAGCTTTAATAACTATTAGGGAACTAAATGTGTTCAGTATTACAGCACTTTGGGAATTCGCACAGGATTAATTCCATGTAGCTTTCATTATTCCCTTCAATATGTTAAAATTGAGATTAAAGATCACTTTGTTCCTCTATTCTCCCTGCTCCCATGGTATGGTAAAGAGATCAAAACTGAAGGGCTTTATAGGGAACATCTTTAACATTTGCTCTGCTCTCAGTGTGCTTGATTAAATGTAACATTTTGAGATCCCAGAGTTCTGAGAAAAGCATAAATCATTGTCTCGCAGCTGCTGCCGTGCCTAGGGAAAACACATGCTATCCCTCACAGACTCACACTCTCCCTCTCTCTTCTACAATCATAAAACTCACTCGAGCCATTGGTCCCTCCCTCCTCTGCTGAAATCACAATGGTAAAGTGAGTGTGTGTTTGGGGTGGGGGACACCTGCAGGCTGCTGCTTGCCCCACGGTTCAGCATAAACCCCAGCTCCTCACACGCCCTCTAGCCCTTTACTCTTGCACACTAGCCCCATCCAAGGCCCCTTAGTCCTTCCCATCCATCAGTGATGACAGACCCAAGACTGAGCCAAAAGCACATAGTCAGCCAGCCAGCCAGCCACTGTCCAGGGATCAAAATGATCAAACTGTCTCTTGAGTACCAGTGATAATTTACACTCAAAGTAGCACTAGAGGTCACTGTGAATGACATGGCCAAGGATTTCTGGTCCCAGTCACTAAAGGCACTGCTCTACTCTTATTAAATTCAAAAATAATTTATAGATCTAATACCAGAGGCATCCATTCCAGTGCATGCTGGTGAATGATGACATGTCCCTGGCTCTCAACTAGGCCCATGTGGAAGAAAAACCTATGCCCTTCTGATCCTGTCCGCCAACCTGGATTGCTGTCTGCTGTGACTTAAAAGCAGCTACCTCACTTGCACCACAAGTCTGACTCTTCGCCCTGCAGACTTGCATGTTTCCATTGTTGATTTATTGCAATAGTTTATCTTTTATTTATTTAATTAAAAAGTGGCGCTGACATATTTTATTATTCATGTCTCATAATGCAAGTTTGGTTATTTCAGAAGAAAAGAGCATGAAAAGGATATCGTGGCTATCTGGGTCGACTAATCAACTTGGAGAAAGCCTGTGGGACCGTCATGTTGTAATCTAAAGGGTTAATGGCGAGAAATAAAATTACTCGACCCTTTTGGATCCATGAAAGAGGACACTTCAAAGCAGAGCTGCTTAGTTCTTCTGCGTAAAAACCCACGCCTTTAATTGTGCTTAATTTATTAGAATGTTCCAACCTCAGCTCTGTTAAATAAAAACACATTATTCCCGATCTGCAGGAGTTCTACAAGTGTACAGGGACTCCCTCCAACCGCCGACCATAGCCACCCAACCCACCCTCTTCATTTTCTAAGTAAATTGGAATTTTGTTTTAGTTCACTGGTAAACAATTAGACAGAAAACAGATGTCACTGGCCATATTTAAAAGCTACTCATCTCCTTAGATTAACTTTGAATAAAAGAGTTATAAGGAGTGAGAGAAAGAATGAGACAATTAAACGTGTCAAAGCTTCCATTAAAATACTGAACTACAAATAATTCAAATAAAACAATAATATCAAAACAACCAATTTATCTTTACTTTAACACTGAAAATGAACATTTCCCCTGGAGATATGAGCCTTTCCGAGCCTTGAGAAATTAGAAAGTGCATGGCATTGAGGAAATGGCTTCTGGGATGAATTAAAGGATCTATAAGGAAAGTGCTGTTGATTTTCAGAGCCTGTCACAAGCTCTAAGAAATGAGACAATGCAGAGATCACTCATACATAAAGGGGCAGAGGCAAAATACGAAAAAGCAAGACTTCTCTTGACTTATAATCAACTGCAGTCAATCAAATAAAGGTATATGAATGTATATATATTTAAACACTTCACTGACTACACACTGGTAGCTTAATGGCAATTACCCCCATTCCCCCCCCTCCCCCGTTATGCTTTGAGAACTGGGCAGAAATCGCACATAACTCTGCTGTGTTTTCCACTGCATCCTACTGTCAGGAGTCAGCTTTTCTCCCAACCCCGGTCGTATACTCAGTGTATAATGATCACACTTTAGGAATTTGGTAAATGGACTCAGCAGAACCACATGGGAAGAATAAAGTGTGTTTGATGCCAAGACCAAGTGCTCCAACAACTGAGGAATGTCATGATCACAAAATGTTGAACCTCTGAGCTAGCCCTGTGGGAGCAAAGTGTCCAGCCTATTTAGAGCAGTGCCACACCACCTTTCATCTCTTGCTGAATGAGGCGTTGCATCCATCATTCTATTAACATTGCTCCAACAGGCTCCTAGTCACCCTCTGGATGACAGCAGGGACATGGGACATGTGGGCTAACCAAAGGCTTTGATGTAAGCCTGACCACCATACAAAACACAGAGCTTTAAGAGACACCCCAAAACCCTGTGTACACACAAGTGTTATCCTCAGCAGCATGTTAGGAAAAATACAGAGAATGAGAAAAACGTTCCACGTGTGGTAAAGTTGTTACAGTCACACGCTTCTGACCCCCAGCTTTTACTACACATTTGATTATTAGATCAATTAGATGTCCAGGGCATTAATCGTTTCAATATTCCAAAAACAAAAGTGATTGATCTGAGACTGAAATGCACAAGGGGCGAAATACAGCTCTATCTTTGGTAGCACGCTGCAGCACACACACACATAATGTTTGTGATTCTCGTTATCAAAAGGGTGAAAGCTATTTGCAAATATGGCACATATCACAGCTGATTTGTGGCTTTTCTCCGTCATTTAGACACATGTGAGTGACAAATATTTATATAAGTAATATGAAGGTAAACATGCCCCAAGTCTGAATGGCAGCCAGTTAACTGACTGATGAATCCCACACTGTTAAATATCATATGTCCGAAAAGAGACAATAGAGACGTTCAGACAGTGAGAAAAAAAAAAAGAGCGATCTGAATTCAAAAGACAGGGGGAAAAAAAGAAGAGAGGCAGTGATGAGAAGTAGCACAGACCTGCACTGCTCCACATCTGCTGGAGATATATTCAGTTCTTCTGGGAGTCAGCCCCCCCACCTCCTTTTACCTTCATCTCCTTTCGCTCTCCCACTCTCTTTGCTTCCTTTTGGTCTTCTGGTTTGTGTTCAGATCAGGTTTTAATATTCAAAAATATGTACTGTCTTTATGAGCCATGCTTTACTGAAATAATATGGTCTCTAAATCACAGTAATGGTTTGAGGCCGTGGACTAAACAGAGTTTACCAGAGCTCCTAAAAGTATCGATCTACTACATGTCTGAGTGATCGTGTATGTAAACGATGGAAGAACATCTCGTCGGAAACACTGATTTTAAAAATCTGCCTTTCTGTCACTGTAACTTTCAGGAAATGTATTCAGTGACTGTCCTCACATTTATCAAACCATTACCTCTCTAAGAAATGTCAGCCTTCCTTTTATTTGCAATTTACAGCAGTGTCCTGGCACTCAGTTCACTAGAAATGGGACAGTAAATGATAGAGTGAAATTTAAAGAGCAATAGGGATGGTTAGGGATGACCTCCAGAGTCTACTGTCTCTAAACAATACTTTTCTTCTTACTTTCCTGCACCCTTAGCTACAACTGCATCTTCTTCTCACAGTTTAAACTACCTGAGGCTCTATACACACCTCAGAGCTGACATGTTTAAGGCCTGAGCCCTGATATGATTCAGGAGTTGGCGGTTTGCACAAATCAAGGCTACACAATGAATCTCTGTAGTCCGGTATTAAAAGTAATGTACAACTGTGACTCTGAAGACAACTCTGAAAACAAATACTGGAGCTGTATTGTTTTACCTTGTCACCCCAGGCTTCTCCTGTATCTGATCTTGGGATCTGATCTTGGGAGAGGGTTGCAGGAAAACAGCCCAGAATGTACTTTAAGCCCCCTACTGTGGGCTTTTAGAAACTTGGGAGTGGCTAAAGGCCATGACATAGTAGAGACTGTCCCATACTTCGAGAGGTATCAGTTTTTCTCGGGAAGAACGTTTTTTTTAAGTTGACGGTATGAAAAATATTAATAACACACTAATATCCATGGTCATATCTGTTTCTAAAAGGTCATACAGAAAAATGAGGGCATCCTTGGCGACATGTACAGATGTGACGATTAATATCCTACTTACTAAATCAAGCACTGCAGCACTTTAAATTTTGGAATTGGTTTGCATTTTTAGCTCTTTGGAAAGGCTACTGAATAATCCCACTCCCTCTCTCAAAAGGCACATGCATGCACCCACACACCCTCACAATGACACAGGAAACATAATCTGTGGTCTAGGGATGCAATCAAAACTGCAACCTGACATCAGAGCAGCCGTCAACAGCAATCCTCAAGTGGTTAGCTGTTGTTAGCCAGCTCAGCCCAGTGCTGACAGAGACTAACTGCTGTTTAGAGAAATCACACTGCCTGAAAAGAGATGCAGGGCTGCCAACCCTGCCTCAAGGATAGCAGAGTGGGAAACACTTATCGGCTTTACTAAACAAATAACTGAAAGGGGGCACTACATGACATTATGAGAGGAAGGAAAATATGACAACCTAAACAAATGGAGACTCCTGAATTCACCAATAGTGTAGATATAATCAGTGCCTGTAACAAACCCAAACACCAAAACCACAATCAGAAAATGAACTAAAACCTGATTTATAAATGAAGGGTGGGGCAGGGTGGGGTGGAGAGGAGAAAAGAGGGTAATCCATACATTTAAAACACTTATACCTGAGTTCCTGCAATCATCTCCTTGCTGAGGGACCTGAATAGAAAATGCCAGCAGGTCAGGGGCCAGCAAAGATTCAGGCTTGCGAATCTCATTAAGCCAGCGGCTCATATGTAGTTCTTTAGTGTCAGATGGACCTTGAATCAGAGGAACCAGCTTCTCCTTCACTCCCTCTCCTGAACCTGAAAGACAAGAGTAATAGTTTGTAATATTTTACAAACTCTCCACTTCTCCCAATCAAGCTATAATGACTCCCATAAATTGGAAAGCATTTCTGAAATAGGAATGACCAAATGTGCACATAAAATAAAACATTTGTAAATGTTTCATGTATTAAAAACAGCCCTTTATTTGAACTTCCTTGTGATTCACCTTGAAGTAACTGCAACAGCACTATTTGGTTGCTATACAGAAGCAAGGCCTAATAACGAATTATGAATTATTATTATGACCACTCCTACGCACCAGTAAAGCCATGTTTTGTTAATTTTTCACTTTAGTTGAAGAGCTCATAGTTCAAAAGAACAACTTTGCACTCCATCGTCATTTTCACTTTTCACTCCTTATGTGCACATATTTTTGTGACTCTACAATAAATGGTCATTTTAAAATAAGGGCATTAACTGCACATGGTTTGCTTGTATTTCTATATTGACAGCTGCAATACATCTACTAATCTGACCCACATCATGTGCAGCTTGACCTTGTGAACTCTGTGCTATGACACTAGCTCCAATAACATCCTTGCCATCAAAGACATGGCCACAGCCCAATGACAGCGCCCCAGGAGAAAACAGCAACCGAATCACATAGCTGGAAAGAAATCAACATAAAGACTGAGCAGCAAGACAGAGTAGAGTGTGTAAAAGCATAAGTTAAAGAAAGTAAAAGAAGAGTCTAGTCTGTCTCACTCTTTCCCTCCTACACAGGCAGTAAAGTTTTAACAGGGCACAGCTGCACACACCTGGGGTCCTGGCGCACACTTTTACAGCTCCCACGGTTCCTGAGGCACATTTCACCGTCGCACGGCTGCAGAACTTCAGCTCCAGGTTTTGGACCGAGCCTTCGAGAGTCGGTGACGGGCCTGGATATTTCACACCTAATAAAAAAAAGTGAAAAAAAGTGAAAATGAACTGCAGTCCGGCAGATTTAAGCACCGCTTCTGTGACTTAGTTAAACACCTGATTGGCCTTTAATTGTTCTTGACCAGCTAGTTGCTCTTAAACACAGAAATCAAGAAAAGGTGTCCTCTGTTTTCAACAGTATTACTGATAGTGCATCTCTTTGACATATAATCTGAATTAAAATACATTTGCATATTAAAATCAGCTATAAACCAGGACAAACAACACTGGGCATCTTTTCTAAAATACATGATGCACCTTCTTAGTTTACGCCAGTCCATACTTAAAGTTCTTTACGTATGGACGTAATTTACTAATTTATAGAGGTTATCTTTGTTTATTATTGGAATTTTTGTTTCCTGTGAAAACTTTTAGATCATTTTGGATACAAGACAGTCTGAAATCACACCCACACTCTTATGCCTAAAAATCACGATAAAAAGAGATCTAATTAACTTGTCGTGAGTAATCGTTTATTTCCAAAACAATATTCCATGTAGTCACGCTTGTATTCAGCTTAGTGTCAAGTACAGCTCACTTCACACCAGCATTACATCACAGGAGCCTCAAGTGTTCCTCACTCTATGATTACTTCTCTTAATGGCAGCCTAGCGTGGAAGAACCTCCTGTCTTCCATCTTTCCAAAATGAAACTGTTTGCAATGTGACAAGGAATTACATATTCTCTTTTATATGTCAGTGTTATTTCTATGGTGAGAGGCTATTTCAAACACATAACAGGAGAAGCAGGGAGACATAGCTGGATGACTAAAAGATACTGTGGAGTTAAGGAAGTTATGTGCCAAACCGCCTGTTGAGAGAGGAGAGGAGGATCCATTCATCACATGCTACATTCTTCCAGTAAGCTGGAACTGTCCAAGGGAATCACATTTAATTCTTGCATCACCTGTTCCAATAAGGCTTTCCTTCTCAAATAATCCTCTCATACAGTGATTGTGCTTTATTTCCTACAAGTGTCCACAGCACTTTTTCAGTCGAGTTTACAACTTACTGGGGCTTTTTCTGTCGTGTGTTGGCCAAGGGACGGTAAAATCACTGAGCACACGGCAAAAAAGGTTCAATATCAACATAAATAAACTCAAGTTTAGCATACAAAACACTTTCTACTGCAAATCTCACACACACACGTACATACAAACGCTTTATTCTATGCAAAAGCATGTTCACTCACACCAATGGATGCTTTTAGGGCAACTCGAGGTTCGGTAACTTGCCCCTACTGAATCATCCCCTTGCAAGTATGCAAACTTATGTCTAGATTTGGTCACTTACTCAGCCCAGGATGAATACAACCTTAGATAAGTGTAGGACGAGCTCTACTTCCTGAGCCACTCTACTAGTTTTATCCTCTCAAACTCTTTTGTATACACACAGATATTATATAACAAATTTCCTTCTTACACAGGTGATTGAAACATCTAAACACTGTATAACCAGTGCTAAATTGGATGGGCTGTTTTACACCAACATAGCACACAGTATTTTTCTGATCAACTAAAAATTCAAATGTAGTTTCACCGTAAATCAGGAGTGTGAAGTAGGGCATGTTTGAGCAGTCACACACATGCACACTTAACCGGGGGAATTATTGAAAATTGCTAAAAATCTCTAACCACTGACTTCCCTCCTCTCTCTCTCTCAGACAAATTGCCCATCAACCTCTTCACCTGCTGTCTAAGAGGCCCTCTGTGAGACCAGATGGAAGATGGTTATGTTAATAACCCTCCTTCTGTCTCTCTGTCTCCCACTTAATATATCTGCAGGTCAAACAGAGCAGTGCTGTACAACCACTCTGTGCATTTAGCTGCCTTATTCTGTTTAGGCTGAGGCTGTAATACTGGCAACCAGTAATATATATCTTTGTCTTGGAGCCACTTTCTATTTACACTGCAGTGCAGTTTGACAAACGTATAATATATATATATATATAATTCTTTTAAGTAGATGGTAATGCCCAATGTAAACCTTGTAAAATAAAACAACACCGCTCTCAAAATCTTCAGCATGCTCTATTGCAAACTGATGGCATCCAAATGATGAGGGTGATTTTGCTCTTTATACGGTTTCTTTCCCACTCCTAATTTTAACCTAAGAATCAGCAGAGCTGCAGAGTCGGCACCTTAATTATCAACGAAACACTAATCAGTGAGTCTGTGCTCCGCGCAACCAAGGGGGTGTCCCAAGTACACAATTTCAGTAATCTTATCTTTTCTATATATTTTTTTAAACCAGGGAAGCAACTTTGGTCTTCAAAGAATGTATGTGAAAATTCCCATAGATTTATGTTCATACGGATATGCGTGTATATACATGAAACACTGATTTCTAGATTAGTTCATGTGGCCAAGGACCAGAGGGAATGACTAAAAGTGATATATGTACTACATAAAGTTAGGTTCACTTCTCCCACTAGAAACAATTTATATAGTATAATATGTATTTGTCATAAAAACATTGCCCAAGACATTTGGCTTTATCACTGAGTGTATCTGAGTAAACCTAAAAACACATGACCCATCTACCCTGAAAGAGTAGCCTATTCATGGAGAATGAATAACCAGACTCAGTGACCATTTGGCCTTTTTCAACACAGCACTAAAAGAAAAATGACATCAACAATGATGAGTTGCCCCGACTGTTCCCCAGAGCCTGGACAAGACGAAGATGTTAAAAGTGCAAGCCAATCTGTAATATGACAGGGGCCTTTTCTTCTACTCGCTGTTCTCTTTGATAAATGGCACTAGAGGTATCACTATAACATATCCCCTTGCCCACATAGATGTCCTAAGGGCACTGTGCACCTGCTGGGTTGGTGGTTGTTGCATGGGGGAGCTCCAAGCAATGTTTTGTCCAGCTGTTAGGACTATAAAATGTGGGGTACACAGGAAGAGTAAAAACACAAGGGTAGGTAGTTTGTTGGCTTAAACAGCAGTATCCCGTGTGATTCATGTGTGTATGTTGGGTTAGAGTGTGTATAGAGTGTGTCAGTGTGACTGAGTGAGTGAGTGAATGTGTGTGGTACTGTTACTCGTCAAGCAAAGGCAGGTGCAAGAAGTACATAAACACACAGCTAGGGGCCAGAGAGTATGGCACTCCATCAAACACTAAGGGCGCAACTGTGGGCAGCTGGATTTGCCATAGAAAACACCAATGAGAAAGTGCGGAGAAGATGAAGGGAAGGGGGCCTGAAAGTCAATAAAGAGGGGTAGAAAGAGCTGATGCAAAAAAGCAGAATGCACACACTAACACATGCACCGTATGGGAGGTGGAGGGTACTTTCTTTACTTTCTGCATACCTCAATAGTTGGCGTGTCCATGGTTCAGTATATATGTGCAGCACATCTGCAGGCTTGAAAGCCATGCTTTACACATTCCAACATGTCCTGCTCTCACAGCTTTGGGGAAGGCTATGGGAAAGTTGTCTGCCTATAATGGTGGACCAGGCAATATTCTACCTCAAGGTGCGAACCACTTCTTTTAGTCTATATTCACAAAACCCAGAAATAGTTTTACTTTCATTTATGATGCTATATAAAAAATGTTTAGTTTTCCTATTCTTCAAATACTACACCATATAACAAGTCTGAAAAAAATCCCAAGACAGACAAAAAAAAGAGATAACGATACAAAATACAGTATAAACCAAGCTATAGGACTTGTGCTAGAACTATTAAAAGCTGTGTTTTGATTACCCTCCCTCTTTGCAGCTACATACTCCATGCATTAATGACCAGCTTTATGTGTGATGGAAACAAGTTAAAAAAAAAAGGATGTAAATTATCTCAAAACCATAAAAGGCAGGTGAAAAGACAAAGACAGACAAAGAAGGGGAAAGAACCTAAAGTATTAAAACCTCCAAGGTTGGCAATGGGCCCACAGCAGCTAGGGGGCTGACAGAAAAAGAGGTAGACATAGACAAGTTGGGTAGCCTGAAAGCAGCCAGCTGAGCCATTAAGTGCTGATGCAGAAACAATAACTGTCTCTCCTAAGTCAGGAGGGAAGCAGTAGAAGCAGTAAGTAGGAGCAGGTCTGCTGGCATCTTGCCCAGAACTGACACACAGCAAAAATGCAGACACATGCTGAGAGAGTGGGACAGGAAAACAGACAAGGTGAACCAGTAGTGGTTTGTTATGCAGTTAAAGCTAAAAGGAGAGCAGCTTTGTTACTCAAACAAAGGTCTGCATTAGAGAAAGAAACAAATCGAATTACTACGATAACAAGAACTGATTTTTATGATCGTAAAAATGACATTGAGGTACTTTTGGGGGATGCATTAAAAGTTCATTATGATTCCATCAGAGGATCTTTCTTATGAAACTGCGTTGATATGACACGTGTTGTGATTTAACACAACATAATAAACTGAGCTGAGCTAAATTATAATTGATATTTGAAGGGATTGCAGTTAGAAAAAAAAATAGATATCACAACTACTATTTAGCACAGGTTAAAGCTGTAAGAATATCTGCACACAGGAAGAATATGCATGTTTGATTTCAAACAGATGTAAACAACAACAACAGCTGTTTGTAGATAGATGAAGGAGCTGGGCAGTTTATATAACCAGTAATTGCTGCCAGAGTTTGGGTTGTTTTTTGAGGGGGGCTTTGCATATTAGGAAGAATTGTTTTTTGTTTTGTTTTTTTTTTAAAGTTGGGTGGTGAGACAGAAAACAGAAAAGTAATCCAGCAAGTGTCTGTAAACAAAAATAATGGGTTTCCTTACACATATGACAAAATCCCAGTCAAGCTGCTCCTACCTCACTGAATGAAGGTTACAGCAGTGGTTACAGGTAGTGGTGAGTGCAAGCGGTACTCGCTCCCTATAACCGTCATGGTATAAAGACAATGATGGGGTATAAGTGCCGGTGGTAGCAGAAGCTGGGGGTCTAATTTTCTTGATTTCCATCCCCTCCAGGTGCTGCTGGCTTTTCTGTCGGCCCACTGAAGCAGTGA